TGTCAGCAGTCTGCCCCCAGGCTGGCCCTCCACATCTCCCCTTTATGGTATTAGTCATTTGAACACCCCTGACCCCCTGCTCTTCCCTCAGTCAGCCCCTCACCCACTGCCTCTGTGGTCTGTCTCCTCTGTCCCCGTCCTTCTCTCATCTGCTCATTCCCGTGCCTTCGATCATGTTTCCCTACTTTGGCCAGAGCAGGAAGCAGTGATCCCCCCCACCCCCAACTGCCACCTCCACTCATTCTCCCCACCACATTATAATCCATTGCACCCAAAATGCCCCTGGCATCTGTGGAAGTGTTTATGTTACAAAGTTTTGATATAGCTGAGCTGCCTCTTTAATTACTGGAATGCTGATGGAGAGATGGGTAGCTCTCTACTCCCCTCCCCTTCTCCTCTGCCAGCTCCTTCTTCACCACTTCATCATCCCACCTGTTAACCCCATGGTAGGACAAGATAAGCAAATTAGGATTTGGGCCAGGGTTTGGTGGAATATGAGCGCACACATTTGTGATGCATACGTGAAACTTCTAAGAGGCTTTTGGAGTCAGTGGTTTTGGCAGGAGTGCAGCTCCCCAAATCTTGGAGGTCAAATTAGTGTGAACAGGCTATCTGAGCCTGTCGTCTGAAAGATGAGTCATGCTTCCACTTTAGACTTCAGATGTGTGGTTTTGCCTTGCAAGTGTGATGAATCAGCAGATTGATTTGACTTATAAATAGCTTATTACCATTAAACTCTTTGCTGAAAGGTTAGAGACTGAGAGATTGTATAACATTACAGTTCTTCCCTGTAGCCTAAGACGACCAGTGCTGAGTGGGACACAGTCCTATGTACAGTATTTCTACTAATTAAAACAAGGATATGTAATCGGCACTCGTGTCACTGACGCATATCTGTGTGGTGACCTGTGTGAAACTTAAACCTGTGATAGGGTTAAAATGTTTTGCCTGAGACGATGGTTGGTCAGGTCTAGTCAGGACTGACTGCCAATATAGGAATGGTCCACAGCTCTACGGCATGAGAACAGTGTCTCCTACCTCACAGTATTACCTCATCCCAAAGCACATGAAATCATACACACATGCATATCCAGCCTGGCCAACAGCACATGCACATACTTTAAAACACTGACTCTCATGCTGGTATTTAATACCAGATGCAGTCCCACTTGTGACAGAGAAACAGTTAAACCATCTAACCCAGGGCTATACAAGTGGTTGAGGATGAAAAATGTTCTGTGGTTACTTGTCATCTATTTATTATTTATTTATTTTTATACAGTATAGTCACAATGGAAATTTGATGGACAATTTCATAGGGTAAAAGTCACAGAACATATTTGAGTCTACATCTGAAAGCATTTGCTATCTTTATATAATGGTTAAAAAAAATACATTTCCAGGATTTTACAGGAGTAGTAAAGGTATTGGTGCATTGCACACAAAATATATTATGGTTCCTTTTGGTTAATAGTGAGGGACATATTGGTAAGCCTTATTTTGGGGAATTCCAGGTACCTTTTGAGAGATGTTGCATTTTGTCTTTCTCCTTTGGATAAAATATTTACACATTTCTTTGTGAGGCTAAATTTCACTTTTGAGCTCTGGTTTGCCATATAGTAAACACCGTGCACATGTACCCATTGCTTTTTGCTGCAGTGCAGTTACTACCACTAGTGGTCACCAAGGTCAGAAATGTTCATGTGCTAAACATGAGGCCTTTAAAATCAGTAATTGTTAGATAATAATTAATCAAAAAAATAACCTACTGCTACAGCAACAGGAAAGAGTATTTGAACTATTATTACTAGTACTATCAATGATGAGACAGTACAATCAGTTTGTTTAACCTCTGTACATCTTAGTCAACATGGAAATGGTATAGAAATCAGAGCACATGGGATAGCAAGGGCGAGGAACACTTGTGATTTAAATCAAAGAGCTGCCGTTGTGCTTATTTTGACTGTTATTGTGGCAGCTTCACTATGGTGACACTCTAACTTTAATTGTGCCAGTAAAACATTTGCCATGCAGAATGTAAATTGGAAATAGCTTCTTATGATTAAAACCCAGTGATCTCAGAGAATGGCTTTGGCACAGCATTGGTGGAAAGATGTGGTATAATATCCCATCCAAGAGTCATAAATATAACTCAGTTTAAGCCGTTGCAGAACAAAGGTCTCTTCTGCGATGCCACTGCTGCCTTTTTATCCGTTTAATACCTTGTTTATTCCAAACAGAGAACATGTCGTGGGCAGCACGGTGGCGCAGTGGTTGGCACCGTTGCCTCACAGCAAGAAGGTTCTGGGTTCGGGCCCCACCTGGGACCTTTCTGTGTGGAGTTTGCATGTTCTCCCCGTGCTTGCGTGGGTTCTCTCTGGGTACTCTGGCTTCCTCCCACAGTCCAAAGACATGCAGCTTATTGGTGTCTCTAAATTGCCCAGGAGTGCATGTGCGTGCGTGTGGTTGTTTGTCTATGTGTTAGCTCTGCGATGGATTGGCGACCTGTCCAGGGTGTATGCCGGCCGGGATTGGCTCCGGCCGTGACCTCGTTCAGCGACTAAGCGGTAGAAAATGAATGAATGAATCAGAACATGTCAGATTAGCCCCACGGGCCCCCGACAAAGCTGGCCTGTTCATTTAGGTTATTCCTGTAGAGTTAGCTTGACAATTATGTTTGAATTTTTATATCTTTAGGACTTCCTTACAAATTAAAGCTATTTGTTTCATGCAAAATAGCGTCCAACCAGTCAGACTTCATTTGCCAAGAGGCTTACTGATGGGGGACTGTGACATGGTAATGATAGCCACTCACAACACGTGTATGGAGTGTGGTCAAATCCAGATTCAGACACACTGACCATTGTGCAGTGGTAGTCAGGATTTAAAAAGTGCTCCCTCTCTGGCTTGTTTTTTTTTTTTTTTGTGTGTTGTTTTCCTGTTTCCCAGAACTGGATATTGCAGAGAAAGCCACAACAGTTGCAATTGATTTATCACAAAACAAGAACCCAGATCCATGTGTGCACGGGAGAGGACTTGATAGAGAACAGATATTAAACTCATGGAGAAAATCATGAGATCCAGTTTTTGTTTGTCAGAGCCAGTGTGGGGAGAAAAAAGGTGGACTCCTGTCCTACTTCTGTATATTCAAAGATGGACATGTTTGAAGTTGCAGCCACAGAGAGACCGGAAAGTGCTTTGGACCCACGGGTCAAATGAATCCAGATGTCAGAGCATGTGCACAAGGTGGAGTCCACTTGTACAGTAGTTGGTTTTCCTTGTTTACATGTTCAGTCACTTATTTTTTCTTCCATTTTTTT